ACCGTATAACAAACAATCACATACAGATGTGAAGATACAATGCAGTGTGCATCTCTACTTCCAAATCAAAGATGGCCTCCCAATGAAACTGTTGAATGTGTCTTGACAATAGAATGCTGGATTCTTTGCCAATATCCTTGCCTACAATGTCAGGATACACTTAAATAGCAGAATGACGAACTTAGGACTGTGAAGGACTATGCTGTTAAAATGACATGGGAGGAAATAGTAGGGGCAGGTGATAGGGATTTGGGGAGGGAGAAAAAGGAAATCCTGGAGTCTATAAAACTGTATCGTGGCATAATAAAATTAGTTAGTTACTTCTTAAAAATAAATAAATATACCTTTAGAGTATGACACTAGATTTTCCACACTTGCCTATATGTACCTTCCATGATACATTTAAATAGCAGAAAGTTTAAACTTGTAACTGATACTAGGAGACTATACAACTGTGATGATATAGGGGGAATGAAAGGCGGGGGAAATGGAAGGGGAGGGGAGGAATGAACCTCTCTGCCTACAGAACTGTGTTGTGGAAATAATTTTAAAAACAAAAAGACCTTTGGGAAGATATTTTTTAGGGTACAGAAGGAGACTTGTAGGATGCTATTTTATTCCTTAGGGTCTTGGGAAACATGGTCATATTTAATTAGGATAAATTCATACATTTTTTTAAAACTTTTTTTGTGTTCATGATATGCTTAAATTTTTTTTTAAAGATTTATTTTTATTATTTTTTCATTGGAAAGGCAGATATACAGAGAGGAGAGACAGAGAGGAAGATCTTCCGTCCCATGATTCACTCCCCAAGTGAGCGCAACTGGGCCGATACTATGCCAATCCGAAGCCAGGAGCCTCTTCCGGGTCTCCCACGCTGGTGCAGGTTCCCAAAGCTTTGGGCCGTCCTCGACTGCTTTCCCGGGCCACAGGCAGGGAGCTGGAAGGGAAGCGGGGCTGCCGGGATTAGAACTGGCGCCCATATGGGATCCCGGGCGTGCAAGGCGAGGACCTTTAACCACTTGTGCCACTGCGCCGGGGCCCGATATGCTTAAATTTTTAAAAAAATCTTTAAATTGTTTTAATTTTTGTTATTGCTTTGTTACTGTTCTTCTCATAAGCACCATTTTAAAAAATGAAACTGTTGCAGTGTGGCATTAGTCTTTTGCAATCTAATCTTGTTTAATAGGTATTAGTGTACTTTAAATATCATCTTCTGTGAAGTGCCTGTTAAGTTCCTTCCCTGTTTGTTATTTTTTTCTTATTGATTCATAGGATTTGATTTTATTTGTTGTTAGAGTCTAGGTGAAAGGCCTTTGTCATGTATGTGTATAGTAATTGCCTCTTGCGGTTGCCAGTGTCTTTCCACCTGCAAGGTTATCAGTGTATTTGCCTTATTTCCTTCTAAAAATAGTGCATGCTGGTCTGACTTTCACATTTAGCTCGACTTCAGTCTGAGATTAATTTTTGTGTTGGGGAGGTGAGGTTGGGAATGAAGACTAACCAGTTTCCATACGAGTTAACATGCAGTGCCATGTTGCCCCCATTGTGAATCAGTGCTTTCTTGTGTGTCACCTGTGGGTTCTCTCTTCTGTTCCTTTACAACCAACTTTTAAATCTTTACAAGCAAACTGGTTTATGTGTGGGAAGTTCTAAAGATGAAAGAATCCTTGAGCTAAGTGGAAATAGTTTATTGCTCTGGAAAGCAATATTAGGCCTTTTACCCCAAATCTAGACACAGTCTATATTATCCATAATAGAAGTGAGCTTAGTTGTAAAAAATATCTCTGGATTTTTTATTCCATATGTTATTATCATTATTATTATTTTCCATGATTCAATTGTATAGATATAGGGATTCCTCCTTCCTTCCTCATTTCCATGCCCACCAGTTATAAGTTAAATATTTTGCTATTTAATTGTATTATTGCATTGTAGGTATAGGCACAGATAGAAAAGAGAGAACATATGATATTTGTCATTTTGGAACTGCCTTGTTTCACTGGGCATATAAGACTGGACCATCAAACATTGGGTGTTCTCGTATCTCCAGACTTTTTGATTGAATATCCTTATCAGTGATTTTTGAGCATGGAGATTTATAAGCATATGCTTGAATATGTTGTATGTTTATAAATTATATTTGTATATGTACATAGTATACACATGGTACTGCATTAGTTAGGTTATGTCTATTATAAAACATGAACATAACTGAAATTTTTAAAAAATTATGTGACAGGAATAGAAATAAAGATGAGCTAGATTATGCCTGTAAACATCCCTTGACTGTTAGTGGCTAAAGCCACTCAGTTAATTGTTCTCATGCTGTGTGTCCACTGTGATTTGGCTTCAACATTCCCCCCTTTATGGCCAGCACAATGGCTAATCCTCCCTACCTACAAGCACCAGCATCCCATATGGGTACCAGCTACTCCACTCTGATTCAGCTCCCTGCCTGTAGTCTGGGAAAACAGTGGAGGCTGGTCCTAAACCTTGGGAGCCTGCACCCATGTAGGAGACCTGGAAGAAGCTACTAGCTCCTGGCTTTGGATCGGCTCAGCTCCGGCCTTGTGGCCACTTGAGGAGTAAACCAGCAGATGGAGAATATGTCTCTCCTTCTCTGTAAATCTGCCCTTCCAAAAAAAAAAAAACCTAAAAAATTGTATTTCCTCTCTTGTTCTTCCTCTGGCTCCAAGATTCATACAACTGCCATGTGGAGACTTTACTGGGACTGAGGAAATGGAGAATTAGCATACAATGTTTTGGCCTATTATTCACACATGGCATTCCTCACACTTCATTGGCCAAACATTTTACATGTCCTCACTAATTTCAGAAAAAAAGAAGTCCTAACCTAGATCTACACATAGCTCAAATGATCATTTCTCTGATGATTGATTTTTAGAAAGTGTAGCCCTGCATCTGTGTTTGTATGAAAAAGTAAACATACTGAGACAAGTCCTTAAAAAAAAAGTATTTGAAGGCAGAGAAAGAGGGCTTTTATGTTATTTTAAAAACCCTTACATTCTTTGAGTGATGAGGCTCCTGCAATTGGTGGAGTAGTGGACTTTTCTTGCTAAAAACCTTTTAATGACTTGTGTTTGCACTCCTTAATAACTGAGACACCTTACCATGAGAGGGCTTCAAAATTTTCATGGAAAATATATCATGGAAAAAAATTGTGTACAGATTTCAAAACAATTTGACGCAAAATAAACTTTCTGGGGCTGTCATTTGGCCCAGTGATAGCCATCCGCTGGGATACTTACACCCTATGCATTTATGTAATCTATAGAGATGTCTGAGATACAAGCAATCCACATAGAACATTTGTCAATGGAGAATAAATCACACAAACTATAAATATACTCTTGTTGCATGTTTCTGTGTCTTGGAGAAGCTAAGAGGTTCCATGGTAAGAATTATTTTCCTGTTCTCACTCTGAATTGAAATAAACTCTAACCCAGATTTTTCACCTTTTTAAAAGTATGTTTCTTTTTGTCATGTATGAATGATGTTCTTGTGTTTAAGTTGAAAGCCCTACAGTCAAGGGATGTATAACATTTAACATAAATGGCCATAAAACTGCCTAAGCAATGAGTGTGTTATGCAGACAGAGTGAATAAACCAGTGAGCTATATTTTCCTCTAGCTTTCTGGTGATGGTACCAAATTACCAAACACACTGTGATTTATGTTTCATGATACTTTGCATCGACGAGAGGGCATATGTTAGATCCTTGGGAAGTGCTTTGCTGCAGATTGATGTCCTGCACGATTTGTGTTCATTTGTGTGTGGTGTAGGCCACTCAGTCTTCTCTGACTTTTCTTTCTAAAAGAATAATAAATTTTATCACCTCCTTTATATGTTTCATTGTGGGCTATCAGTGCTATTCCTGATTTAAAATGCAAATGTTCTAATAATCTCCTACAATGGTAATCTTATGGGAGAACTGACAGTGATACAGACACTATTATCTCGAAGCCTCTCTTAGTGGCTTTGCACATTTTTATTCTGTCAGGGAGCTTCCACTTCTGATCAGTAAGAAAGTGGAATTAAAAGGCACATGAATAAGGATTATATTTCCAGAGCCTGTCTCTTTATTCAACAGCGTTGTTGAATAATAATATTTATTTAGTCACTGTTTTGTGCCAAAAATTGGAGAATGTTTAAAAAAAAAGAGAGGTGGTGGATAACCCCTAAGAAATTTGGGGATTTTGTTTTAAGTGCTGGTCTTTTGCTGGCTCTGTCAGTTTTGTCAGCTACAGAATGGAGATGATGACCTCTCCCTAGCATATGGTTCTTCTGAGGTGACATGAGACAGTTACTTTGAGTGCCCAGCCTGTGGAAAGCCCTGAGAATATGTTAGCATTATTTACTGGGAAACTTCGTCTGCAGTCCATCTCTTATTCTCCTCTGCGCCTCCCCTTTTATTCTTACTCACCTCCCCCCACCTCCATATTGTCATTGGAGCTAAATTTGTAAAACACAAGTCTGCTGGTGTAACACCGCCACTTTAATGCCATCTTCTTGACTTTAGATACCATTATTCCTGTTGTCAGGGAAAGAACGCCTCTCAAATATGTGGATACATCTCACACTTTACCATCTGGCTCCAGCCTTCCTTAATGCATCCTCTTCTGCCCTGAGCAGCTCGGCTGCAGCCCAGAGAAGCCACAAGCAATCATGACTCGGCTACCTTGAGTTGCCCTCTTCCTCGTATCATACTTCCTGCTGTAAGCCTCACCCCTTCTTGTCACTATGTCCCCACCAAAGTGGAAGCAGCACTTGTCTGGGGAGAACTGAAACACTCCTGTTCTTCACAGACAGATGTTTTCCATCCCCATCTTACTCTCTCAGTAACTTGTCAGTTCCTTGAATGCAGACTGTACACTTACCCATCGTTTATCACTTAAGCCTGTTAGGTAGCCTGGTTAAAACTTTGCTGTAATAATGTAATACGATTAGGTGTAATTGCAATGTCTTTATTTCTTTAGGTTCTTGGCCTTATCCAGAACATGAGCGTTTTCCAGTGTCCAAAATGTAAGCACAAAACTCATATTTTTGGTGCCGATGGTGCAAGGAAACTAGCACAGACCCTCGATCTTGATGTTCTGGGTAAGACTGTAAGATGTTCATTTGCAGAAGGAGAAGGGGAAGGAAGGATGAACACTGATACTGAAGAGGCTCATGGGAAATGAGAAGCTGCTTGTGGTTTTATGTTTTAAGCAAGCATAGTTCTAACATGTGTGCTAACATTTCTTTAGTTTTTTTTTAATAAATTTGTTCTGCTAACTGTGATAATACATAATTTCTAGTATAGATAAATACGACCTGTGACTACATTTGAAAAGTTTTATTAGCCAAGCGCTATAACTTGAAGCCGTGCTTTAAATGGTCTGCATCCATTTGTTTGCTCAGTTGGGCGTATGGCTCTCGGAAGGAAGGATATGTACACAGACCTGCTTGTTCTGTTGTAGTCATCTTTGGAAGTACCAGTTCTTGGCATACCTGTAAAAATGCCTTGCTGCTCAGTTCTGTATTTGTTAGTCTTTCTGCTTTAGAATGAAGATACTCATTGCTTTCTTACCATCTTCTCATGTGTTTTCCATGTCTGTAAAATGTGGAACCTAAATTTTATACTGTATACACTATTCATACCACTGAACCGAAGGATTAATTAGTGCTGTGAAGAGAACTAAAATCAGGTTAAATGATTAAAACACAGATTTGGACAAAACCTATTTCTTTTTTCAAGAATCCTTAAGCAATTTTTAAGGGACTTTTTAGGAAATGTGTTTTGATAGCTTAATTATGAATAAACTCCTCTTTGAGACAAAGGCAGATGTTAGATGGCGAATAAGTAAAACAATGAATTATTAGATTCGGTAATTTTCAAAATTAAGATCCCATAGAGAGCAAAGAATTTCGAAATATTCTGGTGTTGTAATTAAGTTTCTTAAAGTTAATGACGAATGTACAATTGCTGTTATGCATTTATAAAATATAGCATCCCCAACAATACCAGGTGAATACAAATGATATATTTTGATACATTGCTATAATTATAGCCACTAATTACACTTTGCAACTGTCTTTTCATTTAACTAACCTAGAAAGTTCAATTTTCCAAATTTGCATAATAACATACAGATTGACATTCACTTATATAATAAAGTAAATGTGTAATTATAATGACATTATTGAATTATGCTGACACATTTGTGATTCCGTAACTCATAAATGAGGGGTACAGTTTTGTAAGTCAGTTATTTAGAATTTAAAGCATCTTATCAGGAAGTAGTCTCACGTATGCAAGCTACATTTTAACTAACAGCTCACAAATGCCTGAAAGCATATAAGAAACACTGATTACAGACCACAAGAGCTGACTACGACTGTAGGCTGCTGTGTGTTCTGGGGAGTCACTTGGAGTTCCAACTTGGGAAAGATGACCTCTTCATGTAGCCCTGGAGCCCCAGGGACCTCCCTTGAACTAGAGCAGGCGCTCCAGTTACCAAGCGGCTGAATTGGGAATGAGGAGCTGAAGGAAGGAAAAAAAAAACCACTCTGGGCTGTGCCTCCTGGCAGCAGAGCCCTCCTGGTGGCCCAGGCCCATGGGGACACTCCCTTCACCGTACCAGGCAGGCTCTTAATTTAGATTCATGCTTTGTGTTGTATTTGCAATGATTATTTGACGAAGTGGCCCTTGAGGACTTTATTGGTGTCTTTGGTCCCCAGGGACTGTTCGGTGCCTGGTTATTAAGGTCTCAGCTTCTTCAAGGACACCTGTGGCCTGTGTGCTTGCTCACGTCCCTCAGGCCCAGCCCCCAGGATGCCCAGACTACAATACCCTGCACACTGTACCTTTACTGCCCCTTCTCGCTCTTAAATTACAATGGTCAGCCAAGCTGGACTCCCGCTGTGCTGTTTTCTAACAAGCCATTTTCTCTCTCTCCTACTCTTGGTGAGAGGGTGAGTCTCTGGAGAGTGAAAACACTATGGATGAGTGACTGTGTAAAAGAGAAGGTTTAACTTTCTTTCACTTCCTTTTCTGTAGGAGGAAAGAAGTCATTCCAAGTCTCTTACTAACACGGCAGTTCATAAATCGAAAGGCAAATGTCACGGGTTTCTAAGCATGTTCTGTCACTTATTTTACCCTGCCTGCCCCTTGTCACAGTCTCCTGCAGCCTTAAATTGATCTAAAAAATAAACTTTAAATTTATTGAAAGGCTAATATTTAAATAGCTGCTGAAATATTCATGGATTTTTGTCACTTGGCTATTGGACATTAAGGAAAAAATTTAAAGAGTTGAGATCACAAAATGTGCTGACAATAAGAGCGTGAAATATCTGTTCTTACACTGTGTAGTTTATAATAAATTGAAATGTTTTTGCAACATGCACTTGTGCATTATTTACATTGTCTGGCATGGTACAGATGACTTACTTTTATGAAACAGATGCACACACACATTTTAATAACCTTTGCATGAATTTGCAGTGGTTCTGAGAATGCACTGTGCCATAAAAAGTCCCTTCTTATATAAGACTACTTTCTGCATTTAATTTGAAAGCACAGAGATATAAATCTTCCATCTCCTGGTTTACCTCCTGATACACACACTAAATGCCAGCAACAGCCAGGACTGGGCAAAACCAAATCCAGAAACTTAAAATCCAATCCAGGCCTGACCTGTGAGTTGACAGGGTCCTACGTAGAACTCATACTCTCCTGTGCTGCCTCCCAGGGTGCTCATTAGCAAGCAGTTGCATCACAAGCACAGCTGGGACTTGAACCCAGGCACTCTGGTATTGGATGCAGCATCCCAAGCCATATCATAGCTACTGTGCTAAACACCCCTCCCCCTTTACTGATTTTTGACTCTCAGCCTTTGAAAGACTTCAGCTGCGGACATATGCTGGGGAAAAATGCATTAGACAGTGGCTGAGAGTCTTTCGATCCTAAATACACCACCTAAGAGTAATGTGTTCTCAGGAGTCATACACAACCTCTCCAACCTTAGTGTGTGCATTAGAGGTTCTTACTACTCAAGAGCTCTTCAGAAAGTTGGTAGAAAATGTTTATTAGGGAAAAATGCATGGGTTTCACTTTTTTTACATAAAAATAGACTTTCATTTTAATTTTGTTTTTCCACAAACTTTTTGAAGTACCCTCATGTATTTCCCTAGAGACCGTCAAGCTTACAAATTGCATGTAATTACATGTAAATTAATAAGTATTAAGAGAAAAATAATTCCGTCTGTTAAAAAGGCACATAGTTGTGACCCATGTGATGGTTCAATTGGCTAATCCTCCACATGCAAGTGCTAACATCCCATAAGGGCACAGTTCGTGGTTCATGTCCTGGCTGCTCCACTTCCCATCCAGCTCTTTGCTTGTTTCCTGGGAGAACAGCAGAGGATGGCCCAGAGCCTTGAGTCCCTGCACCCTCGTAGGAATTCTGGAAGAAGCTCCTGGCTTCAGATGGGCTTAGTCATTTGGGGAGCTAATCAGTTGATGGAAAAAGTTTTTTGTCTCTCCTCTCTATAAAATCTGCCTTTCCAATAAAAATAAATAAATCTTTAAAAAAAAAAGTCAGTTAGTTGAGATAGCATTTCTTTTACCCATTCTGCTAGCTGCAAGATCACTGTGTTGTGCTTTGGGGGGACTACTTTGCTTCCTCCATCTTTTCTTCTTCAGTTTCCTCTTATCATTTGGCATTTACAGGGAGAAATCGTTTACAAATGTCTCTCTAGTCATTTCTTGCTGGAAGACTCTGGGCTGAGAATAAGTGAGTGGCCTCATTCACACCCATAAAGCTGTCATATGTGCATATGCCCAAACTGCCGTTCACTCAAATGGAGTACTTTGCCTCTGGTTTTCATGTGAAATTTTGTGTTCCAGAAATGTAGCAAATTGCAGATAGTCATAACTCAACCTGATTTAACTCAGTTGAATTCAGATTTTGTTTTTCCAGAGTTCATATAAGTTCCCAATGGCTGTGTCACCTTTTCTGATACTGATTACCTATGTCTGGTATGCTCTTTTAGGAGACATCCCCTTACACCTTAACATAAGGGAAGCTTCAGACACAGGCCAGCCAATTGTGTTTTCACAGCCCGAGAGTGAGGAGGTAAGCTGCATTTTAAAATAGGTGTTATTTTTTTCTTTTAAAATATTTATGTATTTATTTTAATAGATGTTGATGTTTTGCAACATGGCTAGGTGTCTATGGCTTACCAGGAAGGATTCTGTATAAAGGACAACAACAGAGGAGCTGGTAGGCTCTAAACATAAAAAAAAGAGAAGGCAATGGAAAAGCCGACAGTTTAAGCCATACAGATGTATTGAATAGTCACACTAAACACCAAAATCTGTCTTATTCACCCTACTGTGTTGTAGAAGCCATTACCTAACCCTCTCAATGATTTCTCCCCATCATTCTGAACTTTAGGAATCACTACTTAAAGTTTAATTTACTGTAGGTTTTAACTTTCACATGTGAAAACGACCTTATGGCATTTTTCTAGTTCTGACTTATTTCAATTTGAATGATACATTCCAATTCCTAAAAGACTCTACCAAGAGACTATTAGAACTTACAAACAAACAAATTGCAGGATGCAGAATCAGCAGTCAACATCAGGGCATGTGTATACACCAATAATGAGCTTACTAAGAAAGAAGTTACAAGAGCCATCACATTCATAATAGCTTCCAGAAAATAAAATTCTTTGTAATAAATTTAGCCAGATATGTGAAAATTACAAAACACAAAAGAAATTGGAACAGGACCCCAAAAAACTGAAAGAACTCTCATTGATTGAAAAAGTTAACAGTGATAAAATATCCATGTTACCCAAAGTGATCAACACATTTAATGCCATCTCCCTCGAAATACTAATGACATCCTTCATAGGACTTAGAAATAGAAAGAATAATTATGCTATCCATTTGGAAATAGATGGTATGAAAATATCTAAAACAACCTTGGAAAGCAAAAACAAACCTGGAGGTATCATAGCCCCAGATATATTTCAAGATATATTTCAGAACTGTTACAACCAAAACAGCATGGTATTGGAATAAAACATAAACTCTTGAAGCCTAAAATATTTCATTTAATCTTTGTTAACAGAAATAAAACCAATCCTATATAATCTCATCTTTCCCAGGTAGCTCTTGCAATTTCACCTAGAAAATATATCACTTTTGATGTCATCTTTGTACACATTGATCTGAACATTCCTCATCTTCTCTGAGTTTTTCTCTTTTTCATCTTTGCTAATGCTTATAATAAACTTTTGGTACTTTTATTTTGTTCATGCATTATTGCTGCCCATTTCATTCCAGTTTATCCTCTAATCCTCTTTGAACTAGAAAATTGAAAAACCATGCTTGGTTAGAACTGTAAGTAAAGTTAGAATAAATTAAGTCAAGAAACTTGGATAAGTGAAGTCGATTTATTCTGAGTTGTCTTTCAGGGTCCCACAGATCCTTTTGTTTCCTTAAGGGTCGGCACTTAAGCAGTACATGTCTGAGTTGCTGGCAAGATGATGTCTAAGTAAATAAGGTAGAGAAGTTTCCAGTAGATTTTTTCTCTGAATTTCAGATATTAAATATTAAGGGTTTTTTTTTTCTAGTCAGTCTCAGAAAAATGTTTATATAAGCAAAAACCAGAATTCTTTTTTTTTTAAAGATTCATTTATTTATTGGAAAGTCACATATACAGAGAGGAAGAGAGACAGAGAGGAAGATCTTCTGTCCAATGATTCACTCCCAAAGTGAGCGCAACAGCCGATCCGAAGCCAGGATCCAGGAACTTCTTCTGGGTCTCCCACACAGGCGCAAGGTCCCAAAGCTTTGCGCTGTACTTGACTGCTTTCCCAGGCCACAAACAGGGAGCTGGACGGGAAGTGGAGCCCATAGGGGATCCCGGCGGGTTCAAGGAGAGGACTTTAGCCGCTAGGCCACTCCACCAGGCCCCAAAACCAGAATTCTTAATTGCTTTCGTAATTAGTAGAGCAGGCAATCTCAACCATATAGGTTTGCTTTAGTTCACATTGTAAATGAAAAGTTGCATGAAAATTTAGTTGTTTTTTAAATTACACACTGTTAAGTGCTTCCTAAAAAACATACTATTTAAAGATAATCTACTGTGATTCCATATAAATAAGAGTTTGTGGATGGTCATTTGGTGCAGTGGAGATGTGGCCACTTGGAGTATCCACATTCCCATATCAGAGTTCCATTTGCTGTACTTCCAGTCCAGCTTCCTTGTGCATCCTAGGAAGCAGCAGATGCTGGTTTGGGAACCAGAGTCATTGCCACCCGCACGGGCCACCAGGATGGTATTCCAGCCTCCTGGCTTAGGCCTGGCCCAGCCCTGGCTGTTGCAGATATTCAGCAAGTGCACCGGCAGATGAAAGATCTCTGTATGATTGTGCCCTTCAAGTCAAATAGGTATTTTAAAATAATAATTGTACTAATTAACTTTAATTGTGAGTCTTAATTTTTTAAATCATTTTTCCACTTGTCTGTTAACTGCTTCTTTTTCCTTGATTCTCCAAAGGCAAGAGACATTTCAGGGAAGTTAAAGGAATGTAGCATCACAGATTACAATGATACTGTGATTTAAAACTCCAAATAAGCAGTGTTTGGGGAGTTTTGGGGAGAAACATTTTGATATTCTGATCTGCATTTGCATAAATGTTAGTGTAATGTTAGTGTTGAGTGTCTAAGGATGACTGAATTTTGTATGATTTATACTATAATCATTTAATGTGACTTCTATAAAAATAGTTAGAATTTCATGTGTATATCATCAGCCTTAAACATTAAAAATATTTAAATCAATTAATTGATTAGTTTGTTTGAAAGGCCAAGAGACAGAAATCTCCTGTCTACTGGTTCATTCTCCAGAGGTCTGCAGCAGCCAGGAACATGATGTGGATCTCCCATGTGGTGGGAGAGACCCAGCTACTTCAGCTGTCACTGCAAGAGTATGCAATAGCAGGAAGTTTAGATTGACTCAGCACAGGTGCTCCAGTGGGGAACAAGGACGTCCCAAGTGATGTCATCAACACTGCGCCACACACCTGCTCCCAAATATGAAAAGTTCCCATCAATTGTAAGACTTAGATGCAGCCTAACAAAAGGAGAAAAAAATAAGGGAGGGATTGGGGGAATCCCAGAGCCTATGAAACTGTGTCACATAATACAATGTAATTAATTTTAAAAATAAACTTTAAAAAAAATTAAAAAAAAAGAGGAAAAAATGTTATATGTTATTCCCTTGCCATAGAATATATTATTTCTCATTCTTAGATTGCACTTTGGATACCATTTACTTCCTTTTGCCTACAAATAGGGGCCAGCTATATTTCCTAGCCTGATTTATATATATATATATATTTTTAAAGAAATTTATTTCTTTTTGTTTGAAAAATTTATGGAGAGAAAGATAGAGAAGAAAATATCTTTCATCCTCTGGTTCACTTCCTAGAAGGCCACAGTGGCCAGAGCTTAGCCAGTCTGAAGCCAGAACTTCCTCTAGGTCTCACACATGGGTGCAGGAGCCCAAGAGCTTACCCCATCTTCTGCTTTCCCAGGCCATAAGCAGGAAGCTGAATCAAAAGTAGAGCCGCAGGGACATAACCAGTGCCCATATGGGATGCCTATGCTTAATGATAGCAGATATTGAAAAGAGTTTTATGCTGTACATTATAACCACTTTCATTTGGGGTTTACTGGTTAGTTTGTTGTATGGAAGAACTAGGCTTCAGAGTTAGTTGAACTCAGTTCGATGTGTTTTTCAGACCTCTGAGTTCCTAACCTTGGGGAAATGACTCCCGGTGTCTCCACCTAAGATGAATAAAAAATGCTTGTTTTCCCTGATTGAGATTACTACTTCTTCCAAGGATTGACATAGGATGTACTAAATTATACATTTTAAAGACATACTCATGTTTTGAGGCTTTTTTTTTTTTGTTTGTTTAATGGGACTCTTTCAACTGAAATATTAACATTTTTCTGGTGAAAATAAAGCATGATTCAGCTGTTAGGGTGTAAGTATAGTCTTTAAAAATATGAGTTAGGCCAGCATACCTTGTAAAGATTTTTCCCAACACTGATCAACAAAGCCAACATCTCAGAACTGTCAAAAGCATGCAAAGTGAGACCCTTAAACATTCTTCTCCACATCGAGGTGTCAAAGGCCTCCTCTAATGACCATCCCCCATCCCTGTGTGCTGATGTAGTTTGACAAAAAGGAACGGCCCCCTCCTTCTACACCATCCCCATATCCCATGGGCATTGGAAGGGGGAAGAAAAGAACTGAAACATTTATCTACCCACGTTCCTCCACACTTTGACCAGCCCCACCCAAATCCAAGGCCCACGCAGGTATGCATCCCTGTCAACTATGTTATAACTATAAAAAAACTTTAAATAAATAAAAAATAGTAATAAAAGACGGTGTTAGTCTTAAAGAAGTTGTGTGACACCTGGGATCTCTTCAGAACACACAGACCTCAGAAGCCCCTTCTGATGGTTCAGGATTGGGGGTTAGTCAGACACTGCATCATCTGCTTGCTGTAATGCTTTAGACAAGGCTGCATGCCCTTCTGGGTCTTGGTTCTCCTGTCTACATAGTAGGGAGAGTGGGACCGGCATGGTGACCTAGCAGCTAAAGTCCTCGCCTTGAATGTGCCCAGATCCCATATGGGCGCCAGTTCTAATCCTGGCAGCTCCACTTCCCATCCAGCTCTCTGCTTGTGACATGGGAAAGCAGTCGAGGATGGCCCAAAGCCTTGGAACCCTGCACCCGCGTGGGAAACTTGGGGGAAGTTCCTGGCTCCTGGCTTCAGATTGGCACAGCACCTGCCGTTGCGGTCACTTGGGGAGTGAATCATCAGATGGAAGATCTTCCTCTCTGTCTCTCCTCCTCGCTGTATATCTGACTTTCCAATATAAATAATAAATAAATCTTTAAAAATAAATGAAAATTAAAGATAAGAAACAAAGTGGGGAGAGTGATAGGATTTACTCCGTGGGGTAGCTGTGAAGGTAAATTACTCATCCTTGACAGATTGCAAGGACTCGGTAAACTTCAGCTATTACCATGAGTCATAGTGATGTGTGCATCACTATAAAGATATCGCTTTAGAAATTAATGGATTTAGAATGTCTTGGTGTATTTTACAGTGGCTTTATTATAAGACAGTGTTTACTGTACAATTTTCTAAGAAGAACTCTTAAAATATAGGCATCATGATCACTGTTGTAGTAGGAACATCGAGGGCATGGGGTCTGTTTGTAATTTATTCCTGGCTTGGGAACCCTGTTAGTGTCCCACTGCACCGAGGACTCTGGGTTGGGACAGGAAGACAATGAACCAGGCATTCTTACGTGATCCACGTCTTGCAGCTCTCAGTGCTGGAACTGCACCCAGTTCTCAGAGAGGAGGAGAATCCCTTCCAAAGCTAAGTCATAGAGTGATAATAAGTAGTCCTCCTGAAAATGCTCAACAGTTCTTAGGCCACAGAAGTTGTGGCACTGTCTCTCAGGATGCCAGATTTTTAGAGGAGGAAGGTAAAACTTATCTACAATGAGACTGAATTACTAGTTTGCTGATAAAGGGATTAAGTTTGATGAAACAGGAATTGTTGGCACTAAATAGTTTTTCAGAAAGTCACCTTCCAAAAATTTGCCACCCAGATCATCTAAAATCCCTCCTCCTCTGCTTCCTTTGCAGTGTGTGTTGTTTTCTTGCTGCTGAGTTTCCTCATCTCACCCGGCCTTTTTTTTTTTTACCATCAAATATAGGGAACAGCTATGATCAACAGTTAATGAGTCATTCTGTGTCTGTTGGGCAGCAATATAGAACAAAAGAATCTGTTCTTTTCTAGGCCAAAGCTTTCCTACGGATCGCTGTGGAAGTGGTGAAGAGATTACCCCCACCTCCAGCATGATGCCCAGGCGTGGGGAAGTTGACAACAAGAGGACCTTCCAAAGCCAACAGTGTGGTGGGAGCACCTGCCAGGATAGGAGCAGTCCCAGTTGGCATTTTGTTTTGTTTTGTTTTGTTTTCCCTAAGGAAATGATGTCTTATTTTCAGATTTTATTTGCTATGACCTGATTTAACAAAATCGTTACATATCAGTGTTCACTATTATATTCCAGAATTTTATTTTTAAACCATTGCATATCAGCTGCACGGAATTGCACCTTGTCCTGTTGAACTATCTTTTGAGGAAACCTGAGTTTAAGATGTCAGATCCCATCTCAGGAGAGAACTGCACTGATTTTGAGGATCACCTTGTTGGTCATTGAGAGAATTTGCTGAATTTATTTGTGGATGTGCACAGTTTTCTGTCTGCCTGAATCCCTTCTCTCTCTTGGTATGTTCTCAGTATACAGGAGTCTCTGTTTTCTCACCAGGGTCAGGCTGAACCCCAGACTCGGTGATTCCAAATTTCTGGAGGTAGGCTTGAACAATAATATTTTTAACAAGAACATGAGAATTTTTATGACATTTCTGATTATAAAGTCAATAATATATTGATATTAATAATGTCACTTCTTGGCAAAACTGTACCTTCACAGTGGATTCTGTGTGACTGATTGGGCTTAAATTCAAATTGAAGCCAACAGCCATTTGCTGACAAGGGGTTACCTGGAATTTAGTTATGTACTGCGTTCTTGGAAAAAGCAGTTTGGTTTTTTTGAAGATTTATTTTATTTTTATTGGAAAGGCGGATATACATAGAGGAGAGACAGAGAGGAAGATCTTCTGTCCGATGATTCACTCCCCAAGTGAGCGCAACGGCCAATGCTATGCCAATCCGAAGCCAGGAGCCTCTTCCAGGTCTCCCATGCAGGTGCAGGGTCCCAAAGCTTTGGGCTGTCCTTGAGTGCTTTCCCAGGCCACAAGCAGGGAGCTGGATGGGAAATGGAGCTGCCGGGATTAGAACTGGCGTCCATATGGGATCCCGGGGCGTGCAAGGCCTTAACCACTGTGCCACCGCGCCGGGCCTGAAAAAGCAGTTTGTTATCCATGCCTAGGCATATCCATTTCAGTTGCATCTAAACAGCTTCCAGACTCTCCCATTTTGCCACATGATCCTGACCAATGAATTGTGACTGGTAGTTTAACATCAGCCCATCCACGCTGAACATTTTCTCCCAAGCCAACAACCCTCATGTGCTTAGCAGACCAGAGGGGGACCCACAGTGGTAATTCTCTCGGTGATATGGTCCTTTCCTTGGTACAACTTCTCTTTCAGGTCTTCGTGTAAAAGAAGGTTTGCAAACTACTTCCTGAGCTAAAACCTTGCCTCTTACACTAAGTTGTTTTCTAGTGCATTGTTGCAAACAACAGGTAGCATTATTCCAGTGCTTGCTGCATGACCTTGTGATCAGTTTGAATTCGACACTGTTGTTTGCCCTATTATACAGATAAGGAAAGTGAGTTGCAGGAAGATCAATCTCTTGCTAGGGTTACTGTTTTTAGCAAGTGTTGGAGCTGGGGTTTGAATTGAGGTAGTTGGTTGCAGGCATCCTACTTTTTGTGCATCAATGTATTTGTTAGGTTCACAAAGGGGAGATGTAGTATTCAGCCAAGCCATGAAGTTTTGTTTCCTTTTTAGGCACATCTGTCAAGTTCATGTGTGAGGCCCAGAGAGAGATCAAGGTCTTTGCATGGTCTGGTAGTAGATAGCTATAAAGCCACAAGAACAGAGAAGTGATTCATTAGTTACTCATCGTTTACAATGTGGCCCTGTGGCCCTTGGTAACTGCCTTGGTGTCCTTTGATTCTTGGTGATCCGCCAGAAACTGAAGCTGTGAGCTGCGCATTGGTCAATATGGCTTCATGCAAACACTTATGTATGGTGTGTTTAACAACTCTGTGCAATAGCTGAAACAGCCCGGACTTCCTTCAGTGGATGAATGGTTAAACATACTGTGCTACGCTTGTACCATGAGATACTATTTATCAATTTAAAAAAAAAAACGAATTAGAGATACAGCCAATGACCTAAATGAATTCCAGGAAACAATGCTGAATGAAAAAGCCAATTTCAAAAGATTATGTGCAATGTGATTCCATTTATATGCCATTTTTGAAATGATAAACATTACAGAAATGGAGAGTCATGTTAATAAAGTATGTAATGAAAGGAAGGATTTGAGTGTTGCTATGCAAGGACAACTCAAGGAGACATCTTTGTGATATTAGGAATGTTCTAAAGCATGATGTCATCAGCGCCAGTGTCTTGGTTGTGATATTGTGCTATAGGTACTTAAGATGTTCGCAAACTGACACTGTGGCAAAGTAGATTAAGCCTCCATCTGCATTGCTGGCATCCTATATGGTTGCCAATTTTAGTCACAACAACTCTACTTACAGTCCAGCTTCCTACTAACACACCTGGGAAAGCATGAAAGGGTGGCCTGTGTTCTTGGGATACTGCCAGAACCATATAGAAGCCCCAGAAGAAGCTCCAGGCTCCTGGCTTCAGAACAGCACAGCTCCAGCTGTTGAAGCATCTGGGAAAGGAAGCAGCAGGTGGAAAAAAACACTCCCTCTCCTTCTCTATCTGTAAATCTGCCTTTCAAATAAAAATAAATAATAATTTTTATTGAAAAAATGTCACCATTTGGGGAAATTGAGTTAAGGACACATGGAATCTCCCTGTATTAATTCTTACAACTACATACAAATCTTTATCCCAAAAATAAAAGTTTAATTTAAAAAGTTACACAATATGGAAGTGACATTTTTCTAGACTGCATTTTTCATACTAATTAATGTGAACAAAAGCATTTGCAGACCTGGTAATTGCCATTCATCATTGAGAAGGAACTAACTACTGACTTAGAGTTGCAGATACTTGTGTTTTAATTATTAAGTCTAAATATCAAAACTTAAGTTCATAAATCAAATTTAACTTGCCCTGCAAAAAGAATGATCCAGGTAAGCTCCAGACATACTTAAAGTTGCGTGCTAAAATATAATTCAACCCATGAGGAAGTGGGAAAAAGAGTCCTCACTGCTCTCATAAATGGCTCAGAGAAGATCCAGAGTGTATTGTTCTGTCTCCTTTTGCCTTTGCCTTTGCTTGACTAGTGTATGTGGATATTTCAAGGAGAACTACTGAAAAAAAAAAAAAAAAACAACTGGAGGTTTAGAAGTAGAGAGAGGGAAAGAAACTATAAACACAAAGACTAAGCTTATTCTAAACTTTTGCCCTGGGAAGTCTTTGTTAAGCTTCAAAGAGCTGACTTCAAAGATAAACTCATAGGCATAGCTAGTGTGCTATTTCAAGAGGTAATATTTATTCTTAATTCTTCACATTTCCATAGAGTGTGGAGAATTTCCATTCTGCTATCCATGAGAGCTATAGTCCGCAATAGGGTAAAGACTCAAGGGAAAAGTTCTCGAATCCTTCACATTTCCCTCCTGAGCTTTCTAAACACCTGAATTCCTTGGCTTCCTTGGTCCTGCACTTGGCTAGTAGAGCCTATCCAATTTAGGGTTCTGGTATTTGGCAGCCCATTAATGGTCACACATCTTCCAATCCAGCTTTTGTCAGTAATAAAGCCATACTTTTGTCTTCCTCTGGATGCAGTGTCTCTCATTTCCACATAAGGGGATACGCTCCAAACTCCCACCACACTTTGAGAAATACCTCTAAAAATTTTTGGAAAATTAGATCTGAAGAGTGTTTTAGGGTTGAAAATGTTCCACTACTCCATGTGAAGCATATCCTGTAAAAAAGTGAATTCATCAGTGGTCAAAAGCTTTTGGTTGGGGATGAGGAAGGGAGTAGGAGAAGTGTCCTTTGTGTGGTTAAACACAGAAGACATAAGTGTGCAATGTATTAATTGACTAAGTGAATACCAGTGACTGCCAGCCAAATTGAGCAGAACACACCAGCGTCCCAAAAACCCAGTGCTCTCCTCTGATCTCTGTGGTCTTCTGCTTCCCATAAGTTAGCCAGATACTAGTATTTTAATTTAAGCCTGTGTCCTTCAGCTTCTCTGTGCTATGTATTGTGGTTTGTACTAACTGATTTTACTGTGTATTATGTTTTTGAAATCCAAGTCTTGTTCCTTACAGCTGTGGTTCATGTTGTAGAATGTTGTGTTGTTTGAATACACACAAGTTGTCTGGTCAACCATGTGGATGCTTGGATTGATTCTGGTGTTTTAGTACTACAGATATTGCTGTTTCGAATATTTCTGTGTATGTTTTCTTGTTCCTGTGCTTGAATTTTTGTTACTTCCAGAAGTGGAATTACTGGTATTCCTTTCCTTGTATCTTATATGGCTTTAACTCTTAATGCTCTGATTACAAATGAGATTGAGCACTTTTAAGTGTGGTGATGTCTAAGGATATCCTGTTTTGTTTAGCATCTAGCCAAATTCTTGCTTATTTTTCTGTTATATTGTTGATTTAAAGAAGTATTTATGGGCCCAATGTGATGGCTCAGGCTAAATCCTCATCTTGAACATGCTGAGATCCATATGGATGTTGGTTCGTGTTCCAGCTACTCCACTTCCCAATCCAATTTCCTGTTTGTGGCCTGGGAAAGCAGTCGAGGATGGCCCAAAGCTTTGGACCCTGCACCCCATGTGGGAGACCCAGAAGAGATTCCTAGCTCCTGTCTTTGGATCGGCTCAGCTCTGACCATTGTGGCCATTTGGGAAGTAAACAGCAAATGGAAGATTTTTCTTTCTGTAAAATCTGTCTTTCCCATAAAAATAAGTAAATCTAAAAAAAAAAAAAAAAGAAAAGAAAAGAAAGAAAGAAGAGTGGGGACTTGATCCCAGGTACTCATTTATGGGATGTGGGCTTGCCAAATAGTGCCTTAACTTGCTCTAGCACTACACCTGTGCCTATATTCTTAATATAAATCTTTTGTTTGTTAGTTCTGTATATTGTAGACATCTTTCTCTACTCTGTGACTTGCCTTTTCTTTTATTAATGGTATATTTTGATAAACAACATACCTTAATTTTAGTGATTCAAATTAACTATTATAGACTTTTGTATCATAGCCCATTTACATTTAGTTCTACAGTCTACCTATAATATTGTGTGTGTGTGTGTGTGTGTGTGTGTGTGTGTGTGTGTGTGTGTGTGTATGTGTAGAGGCATATGCAGGTGTGCTGCCCTATTGAAATAAGTTTTAAATTTCATGTTTTCAGACCAATTATTTAAGCAAATATGCCACTTTTGATGCCAACTTCCCCTATGGGCACTGATTCAAGTACCAATACTCCACTTTGGCCCGAACTCCCTGCTAATGGCCTAAGAAAAGCAATGAAATATGACCCAAGTGTCTGAGCCCCTGCTATCCATGGGAGAGACCCAGATAGGTGAAACACCTGCTTCAGCCTGATCCTGGCTCTTGTGGCCATTTGGAGAGTGAGCCAGTGGGTAGAAGATCTCTGTGTGCCTTTACCCCTCTATAGCTCTTTTTCTTTAAAAAAATTTAAAAAAAATTTTCTTTGAAAGGCTAAATTACAATGAAGGAAGGAGAGACACTGAGAGATCTTCCATCTGCTGATTTATCCCTCAGTGGTCCCAGTGGCAGGAGCTGGAGAGGCATTCAGTGGCATTCTGAAGCCAGGAGCTGCTGCTAGGTCTCCCCAATGGGTGCAGAGGCCCAAAGACTCAGGTCCCTCTACTGCATTCCCAGACCATTAGCAAGGAGTGAAGAAGTGAAAC